TATTAATTAAAACTGTAACATTTCAAAAAAATTTAATTATGGATATGACGTGATTTTACTAATTAAACTTATTATCTCTTAAAAATTTAAAAACACAGTAATTTTAATTAGTAAAAAAATATCATATTACTAATTAAAAAATTTTTAAAAAGAAAATAGCTTCAGGATAACTTTTTTGTTTCACTTTTTTGTATAACCTGATGTATCGTTTAAATAATTGGTTTTTTTTATTCATATGAGACCCATAATATTAAATACATTTACTCATTTAATGACATATGAAAATTATATAAAAAAAATGAGATAAAAAAATTATTTCTATAACACCACCCTTTTTAAAAGTGATGTTCTAATCATATTCGCATATTGCAATGATAAAAGATGAAATTTAAATGATCAAACTGATATTTTAAATATATTTATCCTTAAAATAAAGAGTACAAAGAAATATCTCTTGCCAAGAAATTCCAACCAAAGGAAATATCATGGAAACTCATTCCATTAGCCATTAATTAATGTTATGGCCAAAAAAAAAAAAAACAACTCATTCTGTGTTTGACTAAAGGGCAACATTTTATGAGAAAATGATTGTGAAAATACGATATAAGAAGTTAAAAAGTTTTATATAAAAAGTTATTAAGTTTTGTAATAAAATTTTTAAAAATTTTATTAGGATATTAATATTATTGTGTTTGATTAAAAATTAGTATAAAAAAATATGAAAAATTATTAAATAAGTTCAAGAAAAAGTTGTGAAAAACTTTTTTTTTTTTAAATGTGAGAAGAAAAGTTTATGAATTAGTAATTATATTAGGAAAAATAAAGGGTAAAAATATCATTTTAATCCTTTGTTTATTATAATTTTAATACGTGTAAATGCCTAAAACACCTTTACAAAGTCTTGAAAAGGGTTATTTTCAAGGAAAGATTTTCAAACACACCATTTAGAAAAAGTAGTAGAAGGAAAGCCAAAGCAACAGGAAAGGGCATTGCTAAGAAAATTACTCTTCACCAAAGGAGATATCGGAAACATCCCATTCATTTTCTTCATATAGCTGTAAAAGAGGAGACGAAGAAATGGGAAAAGAGAAAGGAAATATCAAAGAAACTTCCCCTTCCCAGTGAATTATTACTCCCCAATGAAAGGTCCAAATAACTATTTGATCTGATGTAATTTTCACTCAGACATGGATTACTATCTTATATTTCATTTCAAGCCTCTTAGCTACCATTCTAAGATTGTGTCTGGGAAAATAAATTATTTCCCTAATTTCCTTTCAAGTTCAGAAAAATAAAGCATGAATTAATTTTTAACTGAAAAACCCCAAAGGGAAAAACCACTAGTTCATTAGAAAAACACATGTTAAAATCTCCCTGAAGAATTCTTGGGACACCAAACATAGTGTTCGTACCCTTGAATTTTGATTTCAGTAGCTCCAAATTTACAAGTCGCATCTGAAAATGTAGGCAACCAGTTTAGGCACTTTTAATGATCAGGATTTTACTTTCTTAATTCTTAAGCTGTAGATTTTATTTTGCAGTATGATCCATGAGCCAACCTAAGTGAGGAATAGCTCAACAATTAACACTTCTAGTTCTTAATTATTACTGTGGTTCCCCTGAATTGTGCCAATGTCTCAAAACCACTATAATCAACAATTACAATAGGTTTGTGTGTTTAATCACTCTTCCCACTCCAATAGGAGTTCCCAATTACACCCAGCCTCGCCACTCTCTAATGTGACCCAATAAGCTCAAGAGGTGTTTTCTGCTAGTATTTATACCCTTAGATTCATTGAACCAGAAGTTGACCCAATTAAACCCAGCCTCACCCCTATAATTATATTATAATACAAAAGACTGTTGTGCAGTCCGGACTGCATAACATAACCATTGGATAGGGGTGGACCCCCTGATATTGGGGGCTATCCCCCCATCCAATAGCCCCTGTTTTGCAGTTTGGAACTCATTATAAAATATGTAGAAATCATTATCAAATTATTCACTAGAACTGAGGAAATAAATGTATGCTTAATATATAAGACCATGAGGCAAAAATAACACAAATAAAAATCTAAATTGATTAACTTATTTTTAGAAAAAAGATTAACTTACCTCAGATATCAACGGCTTAGCATGTTCTTCCCACTCAGTATCCCACCTTGCTGAGGAGCTCATTACCAATGCACCATTTCTTAGAGACTTCAGAGCATTATATTCATCAGGAAATCCCTTGAAGAGCATCTGCAAAGTAATATAGGAAACTAAGAAATAATTGCAAAGGGTATCACAAAGTCCTCAAGCAGCATATCTCAACCCAACTACAATATGAAACTGAATATAAATTATTTGTTATGATTTTAGTTTTAACCTTCAATGTGCTAAACCTGTCATGATATTATACATCATTAGACACCAGTAAACTTGATGCTGAATATTATAGTTGAAAGGACTTCTATGTCCAAGCAAAACCTTAGAGTAAATAATGACCAAAAAAAAAAAAAAACCTTATAGTAAATTAGTAATGAACCCAAACTTGGCCACACAAAATGGTCCAACAAATAGCTTAACTGAAACGAAAACCTAATCTACTCACTGCTATGAGCCATGTCCCCCAAAGGTTTGGTATGAAAAGGCAAGTAAAGCATACAGAAGGAATGAATATAACAACAAAGTGTCCTGGTATGGCCTGCTAATTGAACATCAATCAGATCTTTTGGCTTTTTTTCCTCAAACTTTTATAAGTTCCTTGCCTTTTTAAAGATTCTTATTGTCTATGTCCATCAATGCCAAAAGCATTCTCACAGCCATTGCCTAAAGTAACAACATCCTTAAGATCTTCCACATATCAGGAGAACAGAATAGCAATATTCATAGAACTAATTTTAAATAAAAAATAGGTAAAAGCCACTACAACATCCAAACAACACATATCTAATCATTATTAAGATGCATGAGTCACCATCATCTAAAATTTTTCATTATTCAGTATGCTAATATATTCAATATCCTTAGCATACAGGAATTTGCAGACAGCTTAACTATTCCATTATATATACAAATCTAAAAATAAAATTCAAAAAGTTACAAAAATATATGAATTATACAATGTCTTTTGTCATAGTTAAAGGGCCATGACTTACCAATAACTCATTGGCAAGCTCTGATAGTGATGAAAAGAGTAGTCCATTTTTCTCAACTTTATCAAATTCTTGAATGCTTCAGAGAAGTCAAAGCAGTAGCAGCATCAATAAAAAAAAAATAGTATTAAATGGAAGAAGCAGTGCTCAAGTATATCCTCTGTATGAATAGATGCAGAATTTACCATGAATAGGAAATAGCACATACAGGTAGTCCACAACCAAACATATGAATGACCTAATCAGCAAATACTTGTTGCATTGCCCTTGTTACACACAACAAACCATTTGCCTTTTTCGCATAATGCTTCTCAAACCTGATGTTATCAGAAAAAGACATCAATCATACAACAAAATTGATCATCTTCACGTGAGTGAAATTAAAAGGCAACTTTCTTCTACCAACAATATACAGAAACAAAGCAACTACTTCATCCTAGGGAGAAGCCAAGAAGGGTGTATCCAAAATTATGCCAATCAACAATGATTGCAGCTTGCCCATTTTACAGCCACTAAGGTTGGAACAGGAGGATTCCACAGAAGAAAATAATACATGAAGGTTTAATACAATTTTCAGAAGGCAAAAACGAGGAAAAAGAGAATGAAAAGTGAAGACAATAATGAGAGAAAATAGTCCTTAATATATAACTAAAATGAAAAAATACAGCCAGGTTGAGATTATGTTCTACTGCATTTTAGAGAACGATATGGATATAAGGGGCATAACAAATGACATCTCAAAACTGGTAGATAGAATTTAATATATATATGTAGTGGCTTGATTTATCCATCTTGGATTTGCACTAAGCTAACATTAACACCCATACCCAGCCATTCATGACAAAAGCATGATAACCTAGCTATTCTATTCGTTTTTCAGAAACCCTGTATCAGGCCTGTGTATCATTAAAAATCAGTTATCATCCAAAACCAGTTGTTCCTAGCTCTGCCCATGCAGCTTGGTAACACACAAAAGCTTCAAAGGGCCACATCTGTAACACCAAATGCTCTTTCCTAGAACACATAACTGAAAGAATTTGCATTTCTAACTCTTCTATAAATCTAATAGGCATATGATATAGACAAATCAAAAAGTTTCATAAATGAATTGCATTCAATTTCAGAAAACGGTTTATCATAGTTGAGAGCTGGCTGACACTATATTATGCACAAATTAAAAATGATAACTAAACTTGTTTCAGGCAAAGTTGCACTCACACAGTTGCACGCATATGCACAATAGAAAAAATTGGCAATTAAGACAAATAGTACCTCTCTAATGAAACTCTAAGAACTCACCTGTACTATAAAAACATCAGGGCGAGGAACTTTAATGCAAAGAAACCAAAGGAGCATAACAAACTGAAAGATGGGCTTCAGCAGAAGTGTCAAGGGATAAAGTATCTTCGGCAAGTTTTGAAGGAGTTTCGGCCATTGCTTCTGCAAAAGAGAAGAACAAAATCCAAATATAAAAGTCGATAGCCTCAAATATCTTAAGAGTAGCTAGATTTCTCCACATCAATACCACTGTGTGAATATGAATATCCAAAACCTATCCAAACAGTCAAATTTACAATCCAATTAGTAAAGTAATCACCTTTTGTACATTCTTGGGTAATTGTACCAAGATAATTATCATCCAGGACTTTTGTATACATATATAATTTTGATGCATATCCAAAATCTGAATAGTAACAATTTTCAATATTTGTCAGGTGTATATCTAGTGCAAAAGGCTTTCAGATCATATTGGACACATTGAATATAAAGATACAACCCTTCTAGCATAGATTAATTTAAGATTGAATTTATAACAAAAAAATAGAAAGAGAATACAAGCTTTTCTCATTAACAGGAAGGAATTTTTAAGAAATTAATTTAAAACAAATATCAACAGTGGAATATTGTATTAACTTAAGAAAAGGATTAGCATTAATAAACCAAGCAAGTACATACACGTTACTCACCTCACTCTACCTTAGTTTCTACAATAAATGCTGTATCCTACTACCAATCTTGTATCTCTCCCCGATACTCTATCCATATCCTTTAACATTCAGAAGCTTTCCCCTCCCTCAAGTTGCACTTCAATTGATTAGAGTATAATTTCCATATTTACCAGACACCATAGAACAGCAACTCATACTCTCCATAATTCCTTTTTGTTACATCTGATGATTGGCTATATAA